TAACTTTTGATCGGACCCAAAACTTTACATGTTGGTCGTCGAAAATTTCTACACCAAAAATTTATTTATCTGGCAAATATAGCTACAAGCCGATTTTCTCCAAGTCTGATCGAATAATGAATGAACAACAAACATATTCAAACAACCAATCAAATTTATATAGCCCAATTTCTAAAGATTCAACTGGGTTCAACCCGCATTCGCAAAATAAACAATCATGAAGAATTACAACAAACAATAAAAATAAAATATAGAAAATAAAATTTACAAAAAACATACATGAAAATTCAATGAAAAGAACTATTGAAAACATTTAAATAGCAAGCTACTTATTGACAGAATTAACGATTAAATATTAAGATAATGTACCAAACAAAAAAAGTTTATTCAGTCCAATAAAATCAATCAAACATTCTAATTTAATCTCTCAAATAAACGGAATAAACCTATATAACAAACAATCGATCAACTAATCAATCAAGCGCGAAATAATTCAAATAATCGGTCAATCAAAAAATTGCTTATAATTTAAATAATAATAACAACAGCAAACAGCAAAAATAATAATCAACAAATCAATAAAACAAGTATATAAAAATCCAGCAGTTAATTAAAAAATGATAGAAAACACAACAATCAATTGGACAAGCAATAAGACAACAAAACCAGTAAATAAAAATCACAATCAATTAAAAAATCAATAAATTAATTAAACAAGCATACAAAATTAAACATATAATTAAACAAGCCATAAATTAATAAAGTAAGTGCACAAAAAACAAATAAAAATCAAACAAGCATAGAACAAAATTTAATATTCAACTAAATAAACGTTAAGTAGATTGCAAGCATCTAAAAATCAAATAAATCAAATTAGCATGGAAAATCAAACAAGCAATTAAGAAAGCAATAAATGAAAAAAAATCAAAATTAATCAAAAATAGCAATACAAAAAATTCAAATAAAAAACAAACAAAATAATTAAAAAAATTTCTGAATTAATAATTTAACTGCCAACAATATTCATCTTAAAAAAATTTAAACAGAAAAGTTTTGAAAACAACCCCGAATAATGGAAGTGATTTAGAAGGAGTAACGAACGGGTAAAGAATACCATAAAAACTGGCCAGAGTAAGCGAAAGCAGATTCAACATACTAGTGTTTAACAGATATTATAAATTAGTGAGAATAGGAAAAAACCCAAGACCAGAGCGTTTGGGTTTACATGAAAAAATCAAATAAATTTTTAGAAAAATTGTTAAATTGAGGTTTTATCATTAAAGTGCATAGCTTAAAAACACTTTTATATTTAATGGGTAGCCAATGGAATAGTTTTAGAAAAAGAGAAATGTGAGAAAACAGAGTAGCTCGAGAAATTAAGCAAGTAGCTATAGTTAAAAGATATAAAGTGGAATCAGGAAATCCAAAAAAGATTGAGCTGCAATAACCAATTCTAGATAAGAACAATAAAAAAAAGTAGGTTCATCAAAAAAAATTAAGAGTTTTTTATTTTTTTTTTAATTTTACGCAGATGAAAGTAATGAGTTTTAGCAACATTATTAATTTGAGAAGACAAAGAAATAGCCGAGTCAAAGATGAAGCCTAAACTACGTATAGACGTAAAAGAAGTTAAAGGCAGTTCTGGAAATGAAATACATGTATTGCTTCTTCAATTGATTGTTGTTTTTTATCATTTTCTAATTATTTGCTGGATTTTTATATACTTGTTTTATTGATTTGTTGATTTATAAACTAATCGAAGCCAGTGTTGTGCTTCAGTTGTATTTTATGTTATAATATGTGACTATGGCTTCGTTAGCTTGCCTATATTCGTATCAAACCTTGCATAAAACTTTTTTGTATTACCTATCTGCTAATAACCTAATAAAATGATTTAAATTAAATACAAATTGAATTAATACTTACTTCTTAATCGATTTTCGTATGTACTATCATATACAAACTTGGAAACAAACAAGCATCACCTTTCTGCGCCGTGGTTGTATAACCTCACTGGGTCATTGCTTTTAAAACCTACATTATTTTGGGTCAGGCCCGGTTTTCGTTGTTTTTGCCTGCCCCATTTAGACGTCGTGGTCCTTTTTTGCTTATGTTGGCATTTCAAACAAGTGCTTCCTTTTTATTGAGTTTACGAGGTCTTGAATGACCAGACAGATAGCTTAGATGCTTGCTGTAATAATTGTTGTTGATGTCTTTTCTTTCGATCAGTGACGGAGCGATGAAAAATTC